TGTGAATCTTGAAATTAAACACCCCGCTTTTCAATTAAAGAGCCGCATGATGATGCCATCGTGCCTTGAAGCAGCCTCGAGAACAGAATGGAACACACACACAACACACACACAACACACACACACACACCACACACACACCCACACATCACACACACACACACTGTCTGGTCCTCATGTTGGTTGTTTTTCGAGTCAGGCAGCTGTGATCAGGTTCGTCTCTGGTCCATGTGACTGAAGAACTTAGTGGTGCTAACCTCCACACAGGGACTCGGTGAAGCGGACTGTGGACTTCGTTGAAGCTGGTTTGTTCATTTGAACTCAGGACGCGTGACGGAGAGAGTTCAGGTCCAAACGTCCATCAATCACGTAGCACAAAAACAAACTACCCAAACCGGAGACGCCGGCGTAGGCGTTTCCTTCACCTGCAGGAAGTAATGCTGTTTTGGTTAATGCGCAGGGCGGGGCCTGCGGTGTCTCTCCATTTGGAACGTTTATCGTTTCGTCTTTCCACCCTTCACGATGTTCGTAGGTCCTCTGGTTATTCACAGTTGAACTTCCTGTGTGGCCTCAGACCTGCTCAGTGGTTCAGTGAGGACGTCTGACCAGTCTTCTTACAGACCTGTGTCAGTCAGTACAGAGTCTCTCAAGCTCAGCCAATCAGCATCTCTACTGGATTTCAGTCTGGGCTGGACCCCTCCAGTAAGTGGATTTCCTTTGATGTTTAGGGCATGTCTTGCTCCTGTAGTGGCGACCTGATTTCCTAGAGCGTGTAGTCCGTTTCGGCTCGAATCCGTTTATGTGGAGCTGGCCAGTCCAGCCAGGTAAGTAGGCCGAGCGATGCCTGGGCCATGATCGAGTTCATCCCGACCTGGGCTCACTGTGGTGAGGACATTCAGTCCATAGAACAGTTTCCAGGATGTGTGGAAGAGAGTGGACTTCGAGGACTATGTTTGGGACTTGATGGAAGATTCCAGACTTACTTCTCTCCATCCTTCAAAGACTCTGACGTCAGACAGTTCTCTGAGACCTTTGTTGTGTGAGGCCTGGTTCACATCAGCATGATGTTTCTCTAAACGTCTCGATGTGGTTTATGAGTCAAAGTGTCTTTGAGCCTCTAAACTCCGATCTGGTCTCACTCGCTGACTCCAGGTCTGATGAGTCCTGACTCTTCCCACGAAGAGTCCGACAGGCAGCTTCTTCTTCTCTGGTTTTATCTCTGACCCACCTTCCATCACTGACCATAGCCTGAGCTCAGCTGAGGGTTATGGTCAGTGATCAGCCCCCCCCCTCCCCCCCCCCCCCCCCCCCCCCCCCCCGTGTCATCACACCTCACACAGATGTTTAACCCCCCCACCCCATTCCCAGACCTGGTCTCCCAGCAGACAGCCTGGTTGTGTCAGTGATGTTGCAGCCTGATCAGTTTCTGAAGCTGGTGTTTGTTGAGTGTTGTTGTGACGGAGGACGTCCTGACGTCACGACGAGTGTCTGTGGTCAGCTGACCGTCAGCTGTCGTCTCTGCGCTGCGTTCAAGTGCAACTTTTAACACGTGAGGCGGCACATCGGCGTGTCGCTGTGAGAGCTTTGAAGTCGGGTCAGTGTGAAATCAAACACTGGAGAGGAGCTCTGGTCTGGAGAGTCCTGGAGAATCCTGGAGAAGTTTCAAGGCCTCAAAATATCCTCAGCACAGTCGCATCATGTGATGTGTGTGAAGTTATGTCGACGCCTCTTTGTGGTGAGATGAACAGCTGCTCTCGTCTTCTGTTTGTGTCAGTTTTAATTGTGACCAGGTTGAAAACGTTGTGTTCAGGTGTTTCACGTTGATGTGAGTCTCGACGCTTCGCTCCGACACCTCGAGCAGTTTCAGCAGCTGGGTTGTGTTTGGGGGGATTACGTCATGTGTGTCGCAGGCCTCAGCTCCTCGTCGTGTTTTCACAGACAGGACGTGTTGTTGAAGGAAACCTGATCCCTGATCAGTTCAGATCCCAGTCCTCTGCAAACCTCCGCTCCTCTTCTCCCTCTTCAGACCTCTCTGTCTGTCTGTTGTGTTTTTGGACGTTGTCCCTGCTGCAGCTGCGGCTCCAAACTTGAATCTGGAGCAGATTAGCGACCCCCACCCACCACCCCACCCCCCACCTCCCTCCTCCCTTTAAGCAGTAACAAATGGAGATTCCTGCGAGCTGCTGGAAACTCTGCAGATCGACTTTCAGCTCTGTGACGGAGCAGCTGAGGCAGACTCACAGCAAACTGTTCGAACTGTCTGCACAGGAAACACAGGAGACTGGCTCTGGTCCTGGTCCTGGTCCTGGTCCTGGTCCTGGTCCTGGTCCTGGTCCTGGTCCTGGTCTGTGCTCAACTTCATGTTCAACCATTAAAAGTTGGAACTGATCACGTTCCTATTATTTTAAACCCATTGGTGGCCGGGGTTAGGGTCAGTCATTCAGCAGTAACCTCTTCATATAGTGGTTTTATTTATAGAGTCCATCTGTCATGTGTGAAATACTGTGGTGGTAAAACTCTCCATTATGGACGGGGAACTGTAGGCTATTGTAAAATTATATGCTGAATAGTTGGAGACTTTTATTTCAGTGTCAGGTGTGGTCACTCCATGATGTCACGTGTCTGGTGCTGTGGTGACGGACTAACTCCTCCATTTCCAAAGACACGGCAGCATGACGACGATGGTGAACTCTGACCTGTGAATGCACCGTGTTGACTGTGATGTCGTGAAGTAGCGTGGGATCATGGGAGTTGTTGTTCTGCCTGCAGCTGAATTATCCACAGAGGTTTCCTCTCCTCTGCGGTGGCCGACCCAAAACTCTCCGGTCAGGAGAAACGAGCGGGAAAATCAGAAACGATGCAGATTCAAAAACACATACGAAAATACAAAAGAAATACAAGAACGGAAACGTGCTGCAAATGAAAAAACGTGCAAAACACGAACAACAAACAAGCTGCAAACACAGAAACGATACAACAACAAAAACACACGAACCCTTAAAACAAATGCAACAGAGAAAGAAAACGGTGCGTATCCAGACAACAGAACAGCAGAGCTCCAGGCCTCTAGGGGGAGCTCTGAGTGGAACACACATAGACTGTAGACAAGCTAACGCTAACACTTGCTACGTTTTCTGTTGCTCTTTTAAAATATTGTAAAATTTATGGCCAAATGTAAAAAAAGAACACAAACCTTTTTTATGTCGCCTCTTCTTTCTATCAAAGGTCAAAGGTCAAGTCATAGGTTAGCAGTGTTTTTTCTTTTGCATTTGTTTTTTATTTTGTGTTTTTGTTGCAGAGCGTTTGACCTCGTCAGCTACCGTACTCTTCCTCTCCATAACAAACAGACACTGAATCAACATCAGTGTTTCTGACACTGTTCAGAGCACACAGGTCAGGGAGGGGCTCAGCTCGTTTCCCTGACAACAACAACACTGACACATGCTCATAGAGGAAGTGATGTCATTGACAGTCGACCAATGAAATGGAGCGTTACCATGATTAAAATCACAGATTTTTCTGGTGTGTGTGTAACATCACTTCCTGTAGCGTAGGCGGGGCTTGACGCTCGCTGTCAGCTGGTTGATTGACAGGAGAAACAGCTGGACGAGCGTTGGTTTGTGTTTGAACATGCTGCTCATTCCAGAGAGCAGCTGCTGCTAAGACACACACACACACACACACACACACACACACACACATTTAATTTCTCTTTAAAGAAGAAAAGTTTCCACAGTGAAACAAACAGTGAATCAGCTGAACTCTGACCTTTGACCTCTCTGACTTCCTCTGTGATCAATCGGTTTAACTGTGATCAATCTAACGATAAAATACAGGTGTTATCAGCCTCTCCAGATGTTTGACTGGAAAGAGATTTACCTGTCCAGGTGTTTGACTGTGGACAGACTCATTAATATTGTAGGTGATCAATTATTTAAATTTAGTCATGTATCAATCATGATATGTACGATCATGTATTGGTGATCGTGTATTGGTGATCATGTATTGGTGATCATGTATTGGTGATCGTGTATTGGTGATCGTGTATTGGTGATCATGTATTGGGGATCATGTATTGGTGATCATGTATTGGTGATCAGACAGCAGCAGTGTGTTTCTGTTTCTCTGCAGCAGCTCAGTCGCAGGAATGCAGCACATGACCTGTGAGCAGCGCTGCATAACCCGCATGTTTTCCATCTCAGGAGGGGGGAGGGTGTGATTCAGACTGGGTGTGTGTGTGTGTGTGTGTGTGTGTGTGTTTGTGTGTTTGTGTTCTCACTGCAGTATCAGTAAAGGACTCTGTCTGTCCCACTGTGTTCACATCTTCAGTCTCTGGTCAAAGTTGTAAATATAATGACACGAAGAAGAAAAACAGACTAAAGTCACATGATCATCAGCAATTTTGATAATTAATCATTTTTAGACATTGATCAAAGAAAACATCAGATTGGTCATTAATGTCGATAATTATTAATCTGCAGAAAGAGACGTTAACAGTGATTTAAAAAAAGAAGTATTCAAATCCTTCACTGTAGTAAAAGTTTGACTGAGGTAAAAGTATCATTACCACAGAGTACAAATACTTCATACAAGTGCAAGTTTTACTGAGGTAAAAGTATCAACAAAATGAACTCAGAGTATCAGGAGTAAAGATTTTTATAAATGCAGAGGATGGGACTTGAAGTTTGTTTGCTCTTTTATTCTGGTGGGTTTAGAAGCTTCCTGTTTGTATAAACGGATCATGTGATCTGTGTTTGAAGCAGCTGCAGCTGTCACAGAGATGCAGAGCAGGACACGGTGTCGAGGTATAAAGCAGGAGCATGAAAAGTAAAGGAAAGAGCAGCAGTTGTTTTTCACAGTAAGACGCGCCTGTGTCTGATCAGTAACATCCTGATTCACCATGGACGTCAGAGCTGCAGACAGTTTACAGTTTTATCCAGTTCCTCACAGGGATGTTTAATGACTCAGTTATCAGTCTGATTCCATGGAACAGCTCCTCTGTCCCTCCCTGACCAACGCAATGCTCAAATAAAGTTCTTCTTTTCTTCTTTTAATACAAGTGTTGCTGGAGTTCAGCTTCACCTACTCCGAGGTGCACGGAGACAGGAGGAGGTCCAAGGAGGTAAAAAAAAAACTCCAGCAAAAGTGTTGCTTGTAGGAGTTTTTTTTTACCTCCTCTGTCCCTCCAAAGCTCTCCCACATGAAGACACACACTGTGTGTCGGTGATATTTGTGAGGCGGGAACAAACGGACACTCACAGGGAGGGTTTAAGCTCCACGTCACCTGGCTGCAGGAGATTCAGCTTCTTGGCTTCCGGTTTGTTTGTCAGACAGATTCCTGTTCCCGCCATCGAAGCCTCTTCTCTGCTGTTGACGTGTGATCAATAGGAAAGAACACCTGAGCAGGTCTAAACACACTGCGATCAGCAGAGGTGGAAATATATTTCACAACCAAACATATGGAGAGTTTAGAAGATTCTCGTCACTGAAGCTGCAGCTTCAGGCCTCAGATTCATCACGTCGCCACCATGTTTGTGTCTGTAGCCGTGCTTCAGAGAGTTTCCTCTCAGAGGAGACCAGGGTCAGGACTCTGATCAGGACTGAGGAACAGAACCTGTTTATTTTGGGAACATTATTGTTATAGTGGGGGGGTATGTAGGGGCCCTGAGGCCCCTCAGCTCACAGATCACGAGTGTCTTATGTCAGTCAGTGCTCATTAACTTTTCATACTTTAGTTCTCAGTAGGAGTTTGAGTGCAGGACTTTTATTTTTACACTGTGGTACTGGCCCTTTAGTCCACAGGAAATAAAGAAGAAAATAAAGTTTTAGCTTTAGCTTCAGTTTAGCTTCCGTTCAGACTAAACTTCTCAGTCTCTTCAGAAACTTTAATCAGCTGCTGGAGACAGATATTTGGTGTCTGGACGTCTCTGTTTTCTCTTCTGACAGTCCCACTTTCATCTGCTCATCCATCTTTCAATCTGAGCAGATCTGAGTTCTGTTCTGCAACTTTAAAGCGACACAGGTTTTAATCTGTTGTTTAATATCTCCCTTTACTTAGTTTATTTAGTTTTAAATCTTATTACATTTATTCAGAGTGAAACACTTTGGGCTCTCACTGCTCTGTAAATAGATCCACTGGGGTTTTCTGTCTGTGTTTGTTCTGGTTTGTGTTCTCTGTCTGGTTTATTAAAGTTTCCTCTGGTCTCCTCTGGGATCAGGACTCTGTTTGTTCTGTTGTTTTGGGGCAAAGAGAGTTCAGAGCTGAAATATGCTGACTGTGTGTTTTCAGAACTGTCTGAGGAGGAGGGACGCTGGTCTCATCACTCAGCTCCAGGAGCTGGACCGACAGATCAGCGACCTGCGACTGGACACCGAGGCGTCACATGACCAGCTGGAGACCGACAGCCGACCAAGCTCAGGTACATCAAACTCCCAGAGTCCCGACTAGACGTAACATGCTGAAACAGTTAATCTGTGACTGATCAGAAACAGGAGGAAAAACCTGGTCAGGGTTTTAGATTTCTTCGGTCTGAGCCGACCTGAGGAACATTTTTTCCCTGCTGTTCTTTTAAATACTTTCATCAGCTGTAGCTCCAGTTACCTTTCACTTTTACTTTAATTCTAACGATAAAGTCTGCTGTAGTACTCACACATTCGCTCCTCACAGTAACTTTATTTCTTTATTTTCTCTTCTGTCTGGTGACAGGTCATTTACCAAAACTTCCACTGAAAAAAAACTATTTCAATAAAACTGAAAGGAGTCTACCTCACAAACAATACCAGCACATGTATTCACATTAATCACATGAATCCATCAGTAACAAAGAACTGATAATATCATATATAACCGGATATGACTCACAGGGACGAAGACTTTTACTTTGACGCTTGACGTACATTTACCTCTCAGTACTGTAGTACTTTTACCGTCATGTGTTGTTGGTGTGTGGTGAGGACGGTTTGTGGAGACAGTTATAAGTTGGTGTTGTCTTGAATTCAGAGAGAACTGATGAAAGTGTGTGATAGAGACGATTGTGTAGAGAACTGCATCATCTGCAAACAGGTGACTCTGTGCTGCTCAACGCTGATTTTAAAGCTCCTCCAGTGTAAAGGTCTGTGTCCATGTGTAGTGTGATTATAGATCAGGTCTAGCTTCTATATTAATACTGTGAAAGTATCAAAGCCTCAGTCCACAGAGAAATGCACACAGCCTGTATTCAGAAACTGAGCCTTAAAACCAGCCGTCAGGACTTCTGGAACTTTGTGATGTCACAACAAAGCAGTCACCAAGCCCCGCCCACCTGGACCCACCATCCAAACCTTGCAGGATTTTTACCTCAAATCTGCTATTGGATTGCTCAGCAAACAGTCAGCAAATCAGAAGAGAGGAGGCTCAGCGACTTCAAATAAAACACAGAAGAAGAGGAAAATATGGAACTTTAATATTTTTATGAAAATGGAAAACGTGGTACCTTTAGTGATCTTAAGGACTTGAGACCAGAACTAGAACCGGTCTGACTTCCGACCCTCAGAAATAGATGTGTTAAAAAAGTTTTTGTTGTCTGGGCTTCCGTGCATCACAGGGCTACAACAGTGTGGTTACCTGTGTTTTAATGGTCATGACATCACTTCCTGTCTGTGTCTCTCAGGTTTCTATGAGTTGAGTGACGGGGCGTCCGGCTCTCTCTCTAACTCGTCCAACTCGGTCTTCAGCGAGTGTTTCTGCTCGATGGCGGACGCTGACGGACGCCTCCCGTCCACAGGTACACACCCACCCCCACCAATCGCTTCAGAGACTACACACATCAGCTGGTCTGTTTCTGTCCAATCATCTGCCAGAAAGCAAAAACCTTCCTCTGTGGAGTCAGTGAAACACGAAGGAGCTGCTGAGTCTGAGTCTCATTAACTCTGTTTACATACTGTCGCCATCAACCTCCGCTGAACACACTGGTTTCCTGTTTCTCAACCCCCTCCTCCTCTTCCTCCTCCTCTTTCTCCTCCTCCTCTCCTCTGCTGTTTTATGTTGCTGTGCTCCTTTTGGTCACTCCGCTGTATAAACACACACACACACACACACACACACACACACACACACACACACACACACATTGACACCTACAGATCCACCAAATGTGTAAACACGAACACACGCACACTGAGGCTTGAGCTTGGCCTTCAAAATAAAAGTCATCCTTTGAAGTGGAGCTGTAGACAGTTCGGACCTGTGTTACATGTGATGCACCTGGGCTCACAGTCGTCACCTCGAATCACCAGGTGACCTGAGCGCCTGACGTCAGTGTGACTCTGAACGAGGTGGTCTCATTTCTGGAGCAGATCCTCCAGGTTCTGGTCTGACAGCTGGTGCGTTCAGTAGCTCGTGTAAAAGTGGTGGTAACACAAAGTCAGAGCAGTTAGCTGTGAGCCTCGCCGGCTGATGTAGTGTACCATCTTAGCTTAGCCTTGCTAACGCCACGTAGGCTTTGACCCCCCTGAAGCTCAACGCTCTGCAAGAAAACATGTAAACAGACAAAACAAACAACTTCAGAAACATCTTTACTCAGAACACAGAGGAAGTGTTTCCAGGGGACATTAAAAAGTGATGAACCCAGCTGTGACGCACTTGTCGTTCAATGCTTTGTGACTTTTGAAGTTAAAAGCTTTTAACAACAAGTGCACATGGATGTGTTTTAACACCATCCATGCAAGTGCGTCCCAGCCGGGTTCATCACTCTTTAGTGTCCCCTGGAAACACTTCCTTTGTGTAATATGAGTATTTGCAGCTCATGTGTGGTCAAACTGATGAAGATGTTTCTGAATCTGTTTGTGTTTCGTCTATTTACATGTGTTTTCTTAAGCTGCAGAGCGTTGCGCTTCAGGGCCACCAAAGATTTTGACCTAATTTTTCTGAGCTGTGAATAAATTACAGTCAGTTATATTCAACGTCCTCGCACGGACTAGTTACACCGTTTTGCTCAGTTTTATTTCTGTTTGAATTTTGACTTGTGCCTCTAATCCAGGTCTGATGCTGTTTAAATCATTTCCAGGAGCGGCAGTGAACGTGAAGAGTTAACATTTCACAGCACACTGTCTCCACAGAAAAGAATTTTCCACTTACTAATGCTTAGACTCTCCATCCACAGCTGAACCAAACAGGGTCATTACCACACTCAACAGACCATTTCATCAGAACTGCATTGCTTGGAAACAGCTCTGTCCAAGTTAACTTCCTGTCAGCTGTTGACATTAGGAAACGCTGCAACACTGAAATAAACTTAGATCCATTTAGACTGTTTATGTTTGAGACTGCGAAGTGTTTAGCAGGCGGGTTTACAGCAGACCTGGACCTGAAATGAGAGCTGTGAATATCCAGAACCTGCTGCTTTGACTGGACCTGATCTCTAATGTCACATTCCTTCTCGTTCTCCTTCAGATGAGCTGCCCAGCTGTTTGGAGTGTGACGGTCTGGTCGGAGGACTCTGTGACGACTTTTCTTCTGGTACAGTTCGTCGCTCAGTCTCCGCTCCTCACCCGCCCACCCTGGATCCTGTCCCCTTAGTGGCCTCCTGTGACTCCCAGTCTAAGTACCACTGCGACCTGGTGGCCCGAAATGGCAGCGACGTGTTCCGGTACCCGAGCCCGCTGCACGCTGTGGCCGTCCAGAGCCCCGTCTTCCTCCAGATGTTGAGTCATGGCGGTCACGGCAGAGACGAAGGGCTTCTGAAAGCCATCGAGGCCGGTGTTGAGGGTCTCCGACCAGAATCTGCTTCTGTTCCAGCTCCTCTTGTACCTCAGAGCTCCTCCTGGCCGGCCCCCTCTTCCTCTTCCTCCCAGACCCCGTGTCATAAGCGTCTGGACAGCTACATCTACAGTCTGCTGCAGCGGAGAGCCCTGCCCATCAGGACCAGCAGACCCCGGACCAGCATCAGCACTGACCCATCAAAGAGCATCCTGCGGCAGGCGAGTCTCTGTGTGAGGCAGGTCTCTGGTCTCAGCTCTGGTTCTGGTTTAGGGACTCTGAGGTTGACTGAACTCAAACCCTCCTGGGCAGCAGGAGGAGGATCCGCAGACGGTGCTGCCACCTTCTCCCCTCAGAGGCAGTGGTCTGTGGAAAGTAAAGGTGAAGAGCAAGAGATCCAAAATGGTTTCCACGGTGGCGGCGATGACACGATGATCAACAACAGTGACTTGGCACCGAACCAGAACAGCTTTCCTCTTACTAACGGCATCCAGAACGACGGTTTCTTCACCAACAAGGACACCAACACAAGCACCAACAGTCTGATGAAAAAGAAGAACAAAGGGCTTCTTCTTCCCTCAGCAGCGTCCACTGCGACTCTGCCTAAAGACGCCAGGGAGCTGGGCAGTCCCAAAGCTAACTCCACCCCCAAAGAGTCCAAGCAGCCATGTTACCCCCCTGACCAGGACCTGCTCCTTGGATCTACTCCTAAGAACAGCCACAAGCATCTCCCAACAGACCAGACAGACGAAGGCGATAGGTCAGTGCCAGAGCTGGCCAGTGCGGGGTCGTCCTCCCCGAGTCAGGACGAAGCAGGAGGAGACGAAGGAGAAGGAGGAGGGAGTCACATGGTTAATGCCAAGTACATCCCTGCCCAGCGGCAGAACATCAAACTCCGCAAGGGTGGCAGCAAGAGTATCAAGACTGTCAAGGTGAAGACAAGTCGGGCCTCTGAACGCAGTGAGCCCGCAGAGAGGAGAGGGGATAAATCCCACCACAGGTCCAGTTCTAAAAAGTCCCGGCTGCTGGAAGACGGAGGCTCCGCCCACATGAAAGTCTCCAAGAGATCACCTGTCGGGGCTCCTGGGGTGTCCTCCTCCAGAGTCAACAAACGCCTCCCTGTGTCCATCCCCGAGGGTCGAGTCCTGGACAAGCACGCCACATCGACGCTAAGCAGCGTGCGGTCAGGTGTATCCAAGCACCATCACCATGGAAACCACCACCACTACAGTGGTACCCACCACCATCACAGTCACCATCATCATCATCACCACGGGCGTGACCAGGTTGTGGTCATCGCCAAACCAAAACACAAACGAAATGATTACCGGCGGTTGCGTGCGATCATGGAGGTCCCATACGACGAGGCGTTCAGGCGCGCTCAGAGGCGGCAGAGAAAAGAGCTTCTCAGCCATTCTCCAGCCGGCGTGTACCTCCCCTCTGGTGAGCAGCTGAGCAGCCCGTACTCTTACGTCGGAGGAAGTGACTCAGAGTATTCGGCCGAGTGTGCGTCGCTCTTTCACTCCACCATCGTGGACACCAGTGAGGACGAGAGGTCCAACTACACCACCAACTGCTTCGGAGACAGTGAGTCCAGTGAGGAGGAGTATGTGGAGGAGAGCACCACCACCAGTGATACTGAGGAGAGTGGAGGAGGTGGGGCTGGGGGTAGGACAGGTGGAATGGGCAGGGGGTGGAGCCAGTTAGGGGCACCAGGGGCCAGGGCGGTGGGGCAGGAAATGACTCCGGCTCAGGCGAAGGCCTTCGTCAAGATTAAGGCCTCTCACAACCTGAAGAAGAAAATCCTGAGGTTCAGGTCGGGCTCGCTCAAACTCATGACCACCGTGTGAGACGGCTGGAGGCGGGAAATCACCCCGCCGCCACCCTGACCCTGCTCGACCGATCTGAACCAGAGCCAGATCAGCTGGGGTGCCTTACCCATGCACTTGTAGTGTATCTGAACCAAATCTCATGTAGAAACAGTCCTGAGGGAGGACAGGTGCTGGGACACTTATGAAGTGGACAAACACTTTTCTACAGTGACATTTGAACCAACCCCAAGCCTCTTTCGCCTGAGAGACAAATCCAAACCAGTCATCCATCTTTGTAAAAGTATGTGTGACATTTGTCCAGGCTGATCCCCGACAACAACAAAAAGTCCATGGATTTTTTTTCTAAATTTACTATCTTCTTCATATCCTTTGTTAACCGTCTGTGTTCACCAGTGGAGTCCATCTGACTGGCTCAGTGTTGAGGTAATCGTGACTTCAGGAGTAGAAGTTTTCTGACGTCTAAATGCTAAAGAGGGAACGAGGAGGGATCTTGTCGTCAATAATCTTGTAACGGTGCTCCTAAGCCACTTGGTTGGCAAACATATCATCCCATCAGCTCCCTGAGTCTAAATTTACCTTCACATGGATCATGTGGGGTTTTACTTTCTAATAAAGGAGCTTTTTCAAAGTTCTGCTATTGCTACATAGCTAACGTTAGCATTAACAGGTGTGTATTTAGTCTACCAGTCTTGCCCTGAGCTTCAGCAATCATTGTGTTTACAGTACAAGAGGTTATAATACGTCCTCTGAGCAGCTACTTCTTCAAGGCAGACTTGACGCTACAGTGACTCAGTATCGGAAAGTGACAAGATGGGCCGGGGCTAGCTGGTTAGCATGCTAACTTCAGTAGAGGAAAAGAAGGGATAGAAATAGAGGCAAAACAAAGGGGATTCTCTCCATCTCTGGAGACAGCTGTTGATGAGCAAAGGAATGAAGTTTGATGCTGAACTCAGAACATTTCTTCTAGACTGGAGAGTAAACAGCTGCTAATGCTAACGTTAGCTTTGTAGCAATTGTAAAACTTACAAGCAGCTCCTTTAAGGAAATTTGAGGGTGTGGTTTCACTTGTGAGCGAGAAACACCACGTACCACAGCACTGGGTTGTTCCCATGGACTCTACAGACAAACATGATCAACATTACTACAGTTCATGATATCACACAAATCAACATGGCCGCTCAAACAGGTATCACTTTGAGACGTTTTTGAATGTCAGACTATTTCTGAATCAGTGGTCATCTCTTCAAACTGCTGGTTCTTCTCATTTCCAACTTCCCACGTTTCCAACAAACACAGTTTAAGTTGCATTGTGGGAAACTACTGTTTGTGAAAAGGTAAAGGGGTTGGTCTTGAGTTCGGATGTAGCCAATCAAATTGGCCTCCTTCCCTCCCCTCCCCTCTGTCTCTTCTGGCCCAACAAGTGCCTCAGCCGATGCAAACCCGGCTGTTAGTCAGACCTGAGAGGCCTCAGTACGCTTCAAACAAACATGTTGTCCATCCTGCCCCCCCCCCATCTCTGTCCAGTCTTTGTAGCAAAGCCAGATTACCATCCAGGCAACATGGGCAACTTCTCCAGGGCCCCAGACCCTCAAGGCCCCTGTTGTATATGTGTAATTTGACTCGGGAATATACACCAGCAAAGTAAATTGAACTTAAATGCGTGTTGCCACAAGGTACCATTTGTACCAATCTTGAGGCTCTGTCTTTTAGAGCGTTTTCAAACCTTCAGGTTATTTGCTCTGGTCTGAATCAGAGGATGAGTTGTTAACTTGTATTTTCCTCTCGATTTGGTTTCTTAAAAATGCATCAGTAAAAGACACTCACTTCTCTCCCTGAGTACCTTAACATCTATTTTTAATCTCCTCGTTTACGTGATCATGACAGTATCCATGTTTCTGATCACCTGTGAGTGGTTGTGTCTTCAGAGTTCTGTACCAACAAAAATTACTGCTAGCGAACTCTCCGTCAGGAAGGAGGTTTCAGATGCTGCTCAATGATCTGAAAGGCACTTTGTTTGAAGCGGGCCGAGGCCTTTAGTGTCTCTATTGGACCTGTGCTCTCTGGTCTCTGGTAGAATGAGTTTTAGTCAGGTTCTTCAGAGAGTTGTTAGGAAAGTTCTTCAGATGGTTCCTCAAATGTTTCTTAAAACATTTCTCAATGTCTCCAGATGGTTGTTTAGAAAGTTGTCCAGAGGGTTCTTCAGATGTTCCTAAGTTGGGTTGAGGGTTTAAGTGGGATCTCTCTGCAGTAATCTCTTTATTTCCTGCACTTTGAGACAGACTGTCAGTAGACAGGACGGACGACGGGACCCTGTTGATCTGTTGTTTGTATGTAGCCTTGTTTTTGTATTTATTATCACACAAACTTTTGCCCTTTGCTGAAGCGCACCGGCACGCCAAACATCTGTAAATGCTTCTCTTTTTATTAGATGATCCTGATTTAAGTTTTTTTTTTTTTTTTTTTTTTTTTTTTTCAGAAAGCTATTTAAAACCTAATATATTTGCTTGGTACATATTGGATACCACACATGGTACTAACTGACTGACAGCTGGGCCTGAGCTGCAGTTTATATAACATTTCTATACTAAGTCTGATGTGTCTTTAATACTTCCACCACTGTTGCCACAATAACCTATTTATACAGCATTTAGAGGTGAAAACCAGAATAACATTTGGTTTGTTTTTATTTTTATTGTCACTGCTGGGGGAATCTTGTCCTCAGGTTTTCGTGATTCGCTTCTTTGAAATCAGTGAAATGACCCGTTTCTCCATGAGATGTTCTAAGTCCAGCAGAACGTTTTCTTTCTTCAAACAGCCGTTGCCATGGAGATACAAGGTATTTCACTGTGTTTTACTTTTTAATTTTACAACATGTTGCCAATTCTTTATTAAACCCACAGCAGTGTGAAATAAAGTTGCTGAAATGCTTTTGAACCCTTGGCTAAATGTAATCAGGGTGTTTAAAAAACACCAACTAAACCAAGCCTGGTTTTATCTGAGACGCCCACATTTCACCTGCAAACTTACAAAGCTGCGCGCTCGCTCGTCAGAACGGTTTGATAAATCATTTCGTTTTCTTTCTTCTCCAGAGTCAGATGCCTCAGATGTGTTTATAGCAGCTTTTTTACCAAGTGAAACCAACAGCAGCTGCTATAAAATGACTCATTCTCAGTTAAAACAATATGATGTGAACACTGTGTTAGAGCAAAGACTGGAGGCAGATGGAGACCTCTAGCTAGTGTTGCTACCAAACAGCTAGCATAGTAAATGCTATATGAGGTATTTAGTTAGATGTTTAAAGCTACGTGGTTGATGCTATAGTAGCTACAAATGGTAACATTGGCTATCAATTACTCACAAACAGCTAGCAAAATCTGATGTTACATTAGCTGTGTCTAGCTAACTGATGTTGTACCATGACGTTTTTAGCTACTTTAGCAGAAACACTACAGACGGATGAACTGTTAGCCTAGCTCCATTAGAAGAGATGAAAATCCACATTTCAGCAACTACAAGTCTGTCTGATGTATCTTGTTTATTCAGTGTAGAAATGAACATGTAAACGAGAGCCATTGCAGTTTTAGCAGCAGTTAGCATTCAAGCTAGCTGTTTGACAGTTGTGCTCCACCATGTTGCCATTTCTTTGGCTATTAAGCAAACACATTAGCTCTCTCGCTAACATAACTTTGCACTAAAAGTCTGTGAAATCTGCTTTGGAGAGTCAGTTAGCTATAGCTCTGGACAGTCTGAACACATTGATACGTAACAGATGCACTAAAACTAACATTAGCTTGCCATCTAATAACTAAGCATGACCCTTAGCCTATGGATCATAACAATCACTTCCCTCGCCCCCCACTCTTTGTGCTAAGCTAGGCTAAACACATCCTGGACATACCTGTGTACTAAAGCTCTGACTCTGGATAAGACAGGGATCGAGAGGCTTTCGCTAAAAGTCTGTTTGAAGTTTTCCTCAGCGGGCTCATGCCAAGACGTTGTTGGAGTTTGATGTTCAGCCTTAAATTCGTTTTCTGGAATCTCTTTAAATTCATTGTCCTCGTCTATTCTGGTCCAGAGTTTACATGTTCCAGATATAAATAGCTCTTACAAAGCTCTAAAAAAAGAAAAAACCCACAGAAAGCTTCTCGTCAGCTGTCACGCCGTCTTTGTGTTGAGAGCTATTTTAACTTTCCATTGACTGAGATTTGTTTCTGCTGTTCAAACAGTTTTTTTTAATTTAAATCTCTAGTGAGAGTTTAACAGCCAAAAACCTTCAACCACCAAGCTGCTTCATACTGATCCAACAGTACCAACTTTACTCTTGTAAATGATCATATATGCAACTGTGTGTGACTGTTACTGATACTGTGTGTGTGTATATATCTGTGTATGCCATTACTGGTGCTTTAACCTTTTTATGCTTCATTAAATGTGGACTCTTAACAGCAGCGTTTCATTGTTCTGAGTTCATCTGTTTCCTCCGACCTCAAATCCTGAATCTTGACAGCCTGGAACTGTAAGGGTTTTGTCCCAGTTGGCATCCAGTAATAACCCGTCTCCCTGCTGCTCAGCCCAATCACAAGATATTTAGTGTGTTTTTGAGTTAAGCTGCTTCTCACACTCCTGACTCCGACTTCTGAATGAAATCTTTCTATCTGTTGATTTCTCACAGCTCACTTTAAGTTCGAGAAGTCTGGTCTCACTGCAAATTATTTATCTGCCCCACTTTACAATAAGACTAACCTTAATAAGGATTTATAAATGATTTATAGTTAACAAGCTAATTAATTAGCTAGTGAAACCATTCATAAATCATTTACAAAAGTCTTATTGTAAAGCGGGATCTATTTATCCATAAATAAATAATTTTATAATGTTCTAAAATAAGAAAAAATTCCAGCAACACTTGTCAACATCTCGTCGTGTCTCGTATCTTGTTGTCTTATTTTGTGTCGTTGCATCTCACTGTCTCGTTACTTCTCTTTGCATCTTGTAGCTTTGCGTGCTCTAAGTTGTGTGGTTGCAGCTCTCTGGATCTCATTGTGTTTTATTGCAGCTCGTTTTGTCTCGTTGTGACGCTGATGGTGTCTTACAGCTCAAACATGTCTATTGATTCCCCCACATTAAATCAAGAGACTGTTTAACTGTGAGTCTGATACATGGCTCAGGATTCTTTGTTGTGGCTTGTTCATCTCGTTTTGTCTCGCTGCATCTCACTGTGTCTTCATGTCTCATGCTGCTCCAGCTCTCGTGTCTTTTTAGCTGGTACTGCAACGTGTTGCATCTCACTGTGTTGGATTTCATCTCGTTGCGTCTTGTTGAATCTCGTGTTGTGTTGCTTCATCTTCTGACATCTCATTTTATTTTGTAGCATTGTAGTTTTACTGCGTCTCATTGTGTCTTGTCACCTCGTTTTGCATCTACCTGCATCCTAGTCTTCGTTATCTCTTGTGGTCTTGTTGTGTCTTTCATGTATAGATATCATTGCTTTTGTATCTTGATTGATCTCATTCTGTCTCATTTTGTCTTGGTTCTCATCGTTTCGTCTCATTTCTGTGTAGTTTTCTTCTTGTTGTCTCGTATCTCATTTTGTCGTATTGTCTCATGTTTTTTCTGAATGTGTGTTACTGCTGCGCATTTCCTTTGTCTCGTGTTGTCACATTGCATTTTTTGCACATTGCGCCGTCTCTGTGTCCCAGTTTGTCTTTTTGAATCTTTTGTCTCGCATTGTTTCTGTCTCTCGTTACATCTTCTGTCTTGTGTCTCGTTGAGTCTCGT